TATGGAAGATGATATGTCATGAGCTTTGTAATGTTTTGAACAACCAATTAAAAAAAAAAAAAAACTTCCTTGACAGGAAAACAGGGAGTTTTTCATCAGACTTTAACAATTTATGCTCCACAGCTGAATCATTGCATTTAGAGCAAACAGATCTTCTATTCTTTAGAAGTAGTTGCATTAATTGGGAAAGTCATGTTTTTTCCTTCATACTTAATGGTCACATGAGAAATCGCAACTATACTTATTAAAGGAATACAGAAACAAACCAGCCCATTCCCAGAAACATATTGCGCTCCTCCAGAGGATGGACACCTTGAGCCATCCACCTCAGTAGGGCCTTGCCATTGCCTGAGTCAGGGGAGGGGCGCAGCAAACAGTGATGGACTTTTGGAAATACCTCACACTGGCTGTCCTAGAAAACCAAAATCCACCCTAGAATAGGAATGTGGTACACACCAGAACAAAACTAGGGAACAGGAAATGTCTAATAACTTATTCTACAACTCCTGAACCCCCTCATCACATCATGTGTATAAAAAGGTAATAGGGGGCTGGGGCTGGGGCTCAGTGGTAGAGCGCTTGCCTAGCACATGTGAGGCACTGGGTTCGATCCTAAGCACCACATAAAAATAAATAAAGGTATTATGTCTATTTACAACTAAAAAATTTTAAAAAAAATAAAAGGTAAAAGGGCTGGTGTGATGGCACATGCCTGTGATTCCAGCATCTTGGGAAGCTAGGGTAGGAGGATAAATCCAAAGCCAACCTCAAAAAGACTTTATCACAAAATTAAAAATAAAAAAGGGCTGGGCACATAACTCAGTGACAGAACACCCCTGAGTGCAATCTCCAGTATCACCAAAAAAACAAAAAAAAAAAATCAAAGGAACTTCTGATGCAAGGATGAATCACCTTAAAAGACATGATTTGGAGCTGGGGATGTGGCTCAAGTGGTAGCGCACTCGCCTAGCATGTGTGAGGCATTGGGTTCGATTCTCAGCACCACATAAAAATAAGATAAAGATATTGTGTCCACCTAAAACTAAAAAATAAATATTAAAAAAGGGTGAAAAGGAAGTAGCATCTGAGCTGAGAAATATCAACATCAATTATAGAAACGAGGGCCGGGTAGAGTGGAGTGGAGCTGAGACAGAGGGAACTGTGCAGGCAAAGGTCCTGAAGAGGGAAGAAGAATGGCACATTCTAGAGCAGAGAGTGAGGGAGGGTAGCGGGAGAAGGGATTGAAAGGGAAAAAGCAGAAAGACTGGAAAGCCCTCCAACACTTCCAACAGATGCAGATGCAGGAAGGTCACCAAGGAGATGGTGGCATCTTCCAGGGCAGCATGGCTGGGGATCTGCCCCAGAGTAGCAGCAGACAAATGGGGAGATGGAGTCAATGGATTTCAAGAGGTTTCACTGTCTGTGGGGGGAGGAAAAAATTCAGTGACAAGTAATATTAACCATGCCTTTTTATTGTCTGTATTTCTAATGCTTTGATATCAGGGGTCTTGCTATCCCTGAATTAACTGTTCTTCCCAGGGCTAGCTAATCCTTAGAGACCGTAATAAACCACCTGTGAGGATACCTTTCCCATGGAAACCAGCTGATCCAGAGCACGTGCACTGGCAACCTCCTCCTCTGTGAGGCTCTCACACTCTGGACCACCTGTCCAGAGACCAGGTCCAAGACAGCCAGGAGCAGCCCCTATGCCCCAGAGCCTGCTGAAATGATTCAAACCAGCCAATCCTAAACCTACCAACCCTGCCTCGCCTGTTCCTTTTCATAGAAAACAAAATAAAAGCTCTTGCCCACATTCCTCCTCTCTGTCAACCTCCAGACAGCCCCAGTGCGTCCCTGCATGCACCTGGGAGCTCTGGGCAGGGCATCATGCCAACAGCTCTCAACTGTTTCTAGAGCTCCATAAGGATAAAAAGTCTTCCTTCAAGACAGTCACTCCTGTATCCTCCTCTTCCCACACCTGATTAACAGATTCCAGGTCCTCTTAAAATAAGAACACCACTTTTGAAAAATAAAAATATACTCAATTTATTCTAATTGAGACGAGGGTGGTGTGTGATGGTAAAATTCAAACAAAAGAGTTTTTCTTCAGTATGCCCAGCAATGGCTTCTGCAACACATCTGTATCGGCCCTAAAACAAGGGGGAAAAAATACAAGTTAAAATGTTAAACGTTGCTAATTTAAATATCTTTTTAGTTGCAGTTGGACACATTGTTTGCTGAGGATAGAACCCAGCACCTCTCATGTGCTAGGCGAGTGCTGTACCACTGAGCCACAACCCCAGCCCCAAATGCTCCTCTTTTTAAAGAATTTTTATTGTCAGTACTGCAATTAAACCTGGACTAAGACTGGCCTCAAACTTGTGATTCTCCTACCTCAGCCCCTTAAAGCAGCTGGAATTATGGACATGTGCCACAGCACCTGGCTTTAAAAAGAACTTCCTTAATGCCACTTAATTAAATTGTTTATATTTTCTTCTGGTGGTAGGAGCTGAACCCAAGCCTCATGCATGCTAGGCAAGTTTTCTACCACTGAGCTACACTCCCAACCCAATTATCATTTTCTCTGTTTTCAAATGACATGGAATATTATTACATGCCTTTGAATTCAATGATTATAGATTCCATTTATTTCCCAATTAAAAGATGAGGAGTTGGGGTGGGTGGCACATGCCTATAATTCTAGCAACTCAGGAGGCTGAGGCAGGAGGATTGCAAGTTCAAGGCTAGCCTTGACAACTTAGAGATACCCTATATCAAAATTTTTTAAAAAAAAATTTTAAATGAGCCTGGATGTAGCTCAATGGTAAAATACCTCTGGGTTTGATCCCTAGTACAAAAAAAAAAAGAAAGAAAGAAAGAAAAAATTGATGACTTCTACAATTCTTAGAAAATAGCCTATAAGTTTCTCAGATATTATGCTTTTTGTAACAAAACATCTAAATAATATGCTTTAATAAAATTTATTTTTAAATAGTTTCCAGAAGTGAAATATATAAAATTTCATTGCCAGTTATATGATACAAATATCTAAAATTACATTGGTATTCATTGAGGCAGTAGTTATTTTTAGAAAGGTCTGGACATTCAAGCTAAGTTCCAAAGAAAATTTTTAAACAAAAATAAGCCTATAAGTTATGTGATTTCTATTCTCCTAAACAACTTATATAATTAGTATATTACATAAGTAGTTATACACTATTACTGACTTATATACAGTGATTGAACAGTGCTTTCATATGAAGACCATTCAACAGATTAATAAAATGAGCATTCTCATTACTTCTAACCTTGTATGTTAGAGGAAAAAAATTACAAAAAGGAGCTAATCATATGTGCAATTTTTCCATATTCTACAGAAGGAAAAAATACCTACAACTAAAATTTTTAAACAATTTAATCTTGGATCACTATTTTTAGAGGTTGTAAATTACTTCTTTCAAAATCTTAACACATCTGTTACTGCAAAAGATTAAGAACATACAAAATAAATTTTGAAGAATACCTTAAGAAATAGTATTCCCCTGAAGGAAAACGGTATTGTTGTATTCACAGTCTCTGCAAACATAATGCAAAATACATCATTATTAGGTGATCTTTCTTTTTTTAATTGTATGGAACATCCCTTCATAGACAACACTGGCTACTGGCAGAGGCAGTAAACTAGAGAAATAATAGATCTTACACCCTGACTAGTACTCTCCTGTGGCTTCTTCAGCCCCACAGAACCTCTCTCTTAGGGGATGCAAACTTTTAAGATGAACTGGTCTCAAAAATGAATGAATGAATGAATGAAAATATGCATTACCTCAGGTTATATATGTACATATTTAATTGTAGTTTTCAAAAATATTGTTGCACCTTTACCTGGATGTAATAGAGAAAACTTTTCCTAAGGGTGGGAGAGATATTCCAAAGGCAGCCAGACAACTAAAGCTCCTCTTATCACAGCACTGAGAAGCCTGACTAAGGTCAATAGACACAAGGAGGGGTTTGGGAGAGGGTAAACAGAATGAAATTCAGTAAGAGGCACCAAAAACACAGAGTGAAGGAATCACTCCAGGTTCTTCTCTAGCACAGTAAGGTAACTGTTGGGCAAACAACCTATGATATATTTCAAAATGACTGGTAAGTACATAATTCCTAATGCACAAAAATAATTCATGGTTGAAGAGATAGAAATGCTTATTACTCTGATTTGAGTAATAAACATTGTTTACATGTATTGACTTACTATAACATACCCATAAAGATGTACGAATTTTAAAATAAAATACAATTTTTAAAATAGAAGGCTAAGAATTTAGTTTCTGATTAAATCACAGCCATAATCCTGGTCATAAACAAGCCATGAAGTACAGCCAGAACTGGAGGAAAAACCACACTCTGCCATCTAGTCAGACAGAGGAAAATGTTGAAGTGGGTAGAGGCAGGGAGTACGAATGGAAAGAAAGAAATATTTTTAATGTTAAACAAAAGATATAGTTTTCAGTTTTGATTTGGTGGTGCAGGGGACTGAATCCAGGGGCACTTTATCACTGACCTACATTCCCAGCTCTTTTCATTTTTTATTTAAGACAGAGTCTCCCTGTGTTGCTAACTTGGGATCCTCCTGTCTCAGCTGCCCAAGTCACTGAGATTACAGATGTGTACCACTGCACCCAGCCAAAAAATCTTCTTTAAGTAACAGTCAAATGTACAATTAAAATAGTTATTATTCTCAGAATTGGCTACAGATAATACTTAAAGGCAGATAAATAGATTATGCCTGCATGCATACATCTGTTCTCATAAATATTTCTTCTTCTGGGAGTAACACACTGAGATGCTTCTTAAGCTCAGTGAAGAGATTGTATCTTCTTAATCTTATATCTTTAATTCAAGGACAATTCAATTTAAAAATCTAATAGTCAATAAATATTTGTTGAAAGTCTACTATATGCCAGGAACTAGGGAGATAATGGCTACTATTACAACATCCTTTCCCTCAAAGAGCTAAAGACTACTGGGGATATAGACAAATAAAGAAACTCTTCCAAGTACAATATGCAACGAAAAAGAAACAGTAAGGATAACGGTGGCGAAGCATTTTTGGAAAGAAATATGGTTCTGGGGCCAGGCTGTCTGGGTTTGGTTGTCTTTCTTCGCACATAGTAACTTTATTTGTAATAGCCAAAATCATAATTAACAATGCATTTATCCACTCATCAGTAGGTAAGTGGATAAATGAATTTAGGTACATCCATACAATGCAATAGAAGGAAGTATATACAACAGCATCAATGAATCTTAGAGTTATTATGTTCAGGGAAAAAAGTCAGACAAAGAAGAACACATGCTGTATGAATTTGTGTATATGAACTGTAGAAAATGAAATCTACTATACAGTAATTGAAAGTAGGGGGCTAGTGATGTAGCTCAGTAGTGAAGCACCTGTCTATCATACAGTAGACCCAGGGTTCAAGCTCCAGGACCATAAAAAACAAAAACCCAAATGAGGGCAGGGGGTTATTACACCAGAACATTAATCTATCTAGACATCCCATGATCTTTAATTCCTGAAAAGTACATGCTCCCCTTTCTCTATTTTTGCATATCAAATCTCTGCCCACCCTTCATGGTCCAACTCAAAACTATACCATTGAGAATCCTCTTCTGAATTCTCACGATATGCCAAATGTACTTGCTTTATTAGCTTGAGTATTGATCAGATATGTACGTCTGTGTGATTATCACACACATAAGTTTGTGCCTCTCTTTTCCTCCACCCTGCTCTATGAGGAGGACACGACTGACTGATTCATCTTCGCTTTCTCCATTGTGCCTTGTAGATGGTGTGCCACAAATACTTATTCACATGTGAAAAGACAGAGAGATCATAGATGTGTCTTCTGAAATGAGTCATTATTGCATAGATTTCATTTCTCAGCTTCCAAGAAGAAAATAACACTACAGCTATTTCTAGAAATGATTTCAGAAGTGAACTTTAAGACCTCATATCCAAAGAACAGTGCTCAGGGTCAGGATTTTGACCTGACATGACCACTCTGTGTAGGCTGGCTAAAAGGACTACCCCTGGAGTCTTCTCAGTGCCTATCAGGCTCCATCTGCTCCTTGTAGTTACACTTATCTATCCTTATTTGAGTTATTACTATGGATTTGGCTTCTATTAAGTTCAATTAAATTTTTTATATACTCTTGCCTAGTTTTCTGCCTAATCAAGCTGTCGACCTTCCTAAGAGAGACCCATGTCTGTTCTCATAGCAAGTGGTGCCCGGGACACAGAAGTCATTGGATAAATATTGGTTGAACTGCACAAGATTGAAATGAATTTGAAAAGTACCTTTAGAAATCTCAAGAAAAAAGTATATGTTCCTTATTGTTCTTCACTTCCAAAACCTCCAAAGTTTTGAAAATAGTATTTTGGTTCAAGGAACAGAATAAGGGGTAGAAATTATACTGCCAGGTATATCCACTGAAACTCTGCCATATAGACAAGGTTTGCTAAGAAAAGCAAGAAGGGAAAATAGAATAAGCTGGATTTATTGTGTTTTGCATAATATCAGAAGAGAAAGGCATTGAATTGGGGCACAATCTGATTCAGTGAAAGAGTATAGGTCTGCACAAGAGTTAAATATCACAGTCTCTCTCTGCTTCCTGATCATCATGTGAGCTGCTTCCCTCTGCCACACTCTTCTGCCATGAGTTCTGCCTTACCTCAAGTCCTGAGAAATAGAGCCAGTCTTCTATGGACTAAGACCTCTAAAACCATGAGCTCTCAAATAAACTGTTCCTCCTCTATAATTGGTTGGGTCTTTTAGTCATAGTGGTGAAATAGCTGACTAAAACCAAAATTTTTACCAGGAATGGGGCCATTGCTGTGATTAACCAGGCCATGTGGTTCAGAAGCTTTTGGAGCATTTTGGAATTATGGGAGGGATTTTGAGATGCTTAGCAGCATGAGCTGGTTTAGGTTGTTTAATGTAGATTGTTTTAAGAGGAGCCTAATGGCCGATTCTGGTGAGAGGTAAGACTAGAATGCCAATAGGACCATGGACAGTGAAAATAGGGCTCAAGATTATTCAGAAAAGGAGGTCTCTTTTGGAATTTGGAAGCAGAGGCCATTCATGTTATGAGAAGCTGTCTGCATTTGCCCATGTCCTGAGACTTTCTGTGAGGCTGATTATAAAAGCAATGGACTTCTTAATCTGGAAGAAGAAATGTCTAGGCAGCTTAGCACTCAGGAAGTGGTATGGGTATTTCTGGCAACTTTAAGCCAAGTTTATTATGATACTTGGAAGCAGAAAGCAGAGCAGAAATATTTGAAAACTTGGACTTGAAAGGCAATAGTAAAACTGAACCTAAGGACTCTGCAGTTGTTAAAGACATTATTGCCACTAAAGAAATCCTGAAGACTTTTCCAGAGACAATAAGAAAGAAGGCTTGAGGGCATCTTAGGTGCAGGAAAGACCACACCCATCTCAGGCTCAAGGGAGTAAAAGTGAAAATTCTCTTGAGAAGAGACAAGTATGGGATCCTTCTTGCACAAGGGGGCCTAGAGAGTGTTTTGAATGTGCTCAGCCACCCACACACTCAGATACTGCTGCAGGTAGGGTCCCTGGAGGCTGGGCTACTGCTCAAATGGTGGCAGACCTTGGCATCAACCACGTGGTGCTGGTTCTGCAGGAATGCAGGATGCTATGGTTAGTGGGTCATGGAGGTTTCCATCAAGATTTCAAAGGAAGGCCTTGGAATCCAGGCAAAGTGCAGCAGGATGGGATTCCCTGTGAGCACTCCCTGAGAAGACAAAGTATAGAGATTTGAGGAGAGAGTCAAAGCTGCAGTGGAGACCCCCAAGATTAAGAAATGCCAGTAATGTGGGACATCGACCTAGGAAAGCTGCAGGAATTGAGCAGAGACAAGCCAACAGAAAGGCCCCTTGAGATGCAACCAACAAGACTACAGGAGTAGAGCTACATAAGCCCTTTGGAGAGGACATCATGCCATGTGCTCCAGATGCTGAACCCAGAACTACTTATAGCTGGATTTTGGTCTTGCTTTGGTCCCATCCATTCTTTCTATGCACCTATTTTTTTGTGAATGGAAATGTTTATTCTGTACCTTTATATATAGGATACTTGTAAATTGCTTTTAGTTTTATAGGAGCTTGCAATGCAAGATTGCCTTGAACCTCAGAGAAGACTTTGGACTTGAACTTTGAGCAATCTCAGAACTAATTAAAGACTTTGGAGACTCTTGGGAATGGATTAAATGTATTTTGCATTGTTGGATGAATGTGAGCTTTTGGGGGCCAGGGGCAGAATGTCATGGTTTAGATATGAGATGCCCCCCAAAAGCTCACATGTGACACAATGCAAGAAGGTTTAGAAAAGAAATAATTGGGTTACGAGAGCCTTAACCCAATCAGTGAATTAATCCCCTTATAGGGATTAATTGAGTGGTAACTGAAGGCAGGTGGGGTGTGGCTAGAGGAGGTAGGGCTCTGGGGGAATGGCTTTGGGGTATATATTTGTATCTTGCAATTGAAGACCTTGTTGCCTCCAAGAGAACCCGAGACTCCCACATACCTATGGGGTAGAGGTTGTCATCAACTCTTTGCACAGAAAGAGCCACCACCATGCT